CCAGCCACAAAAAGCTTTTAAAATAATTTCTCTCCTACTGGGAAAACTAAGAAGCACCTGCTGTCTCTTTTGTTTTCTGGTGAGTGCTCTCCTGATGCCAAGGGCCTTTGTCTCCAAGGCAGTCTACAGATCTGAGCTCTGGTCCCTGTGCCTTCTGTCGTGCTTTGTAATTTATATAAATCATCCGCCTTCTCTAGGCTGTGTCTCCCCTGTATTAAAAAGTAGGGTCAAGAATCCATGTTCCTTCTGTCCTAAAAATGGGAGAGAGGAAGATGACAGACATGAAAGCCCAGTGAGTTCCCAGAAGAGCAGACAATGAGACTTGTAGATCAGAGTAGTGAAGCATCAGACATAACAGTGGTTCTCTTGATAGTTTAATGTTATATTTGCAGCATAAATAAGGCACAATATATGCCAGGGCAAGGGAGGGAGGGAGAAGGCATGGCTGGAGGGATAATTGCTAAGTGGCAAGGGGGAAGGAAGAAGGAACGGTTAGGGAGATTAGAGCGAAGCCCCTGCCTCAGCCCCGTCCCAGGAGATTGTGAGAGCCTGCTCACAGGGATCATGCTGAATCAGGTGGAGGGGACAAGGGAAAAGATGGTTTTGTAACAAAATAGCCTGTAGCACTGCATCCTCCTACCTGTCAAAGTCCACCACTGGGGACTGGAGAGACCCAGACCCAGAGTCAAGTTCCTTGATAAGATGGAGAGGTGTTGCTACATGTCAAAAATATATAGATGAACAGAGATATAATCATAGATATACACTGCTTTCTTTTCAATAGATACTATGTCAGGATGCAGCAGCCTCCACAAATGGGCTGGCGGTTCATCTCCTCCCTGCCTAAAAGGGGTGTGTGTGTGTGTGTGTGTGTGTGTGTATGGGAGGAATGGGACAGCTAAAGCTCCAGCTGGTCCTGAATGTAACAAAGAATGTGGAGTGACCAGTCGGCAAGGGAATATGGGACAACTCCTGTCCAGACCAACACAGGGATAGGTTTTAGGGAAAAGACTAGAAGAAAGACAAACCTAGATTTTGAGATCAGTGATGTGGTGGTTGTTTTAACTGGAAAGGAGGGAGGGACTGGAGGGACTGGAAGAAATAGAAATATGTTAGTGCTAAGGCAGAGGATGGTATTTAAAATATCCTTGACACCCTGCAAGAATTTCCCAGCTTGCCCCCAAGGCAATAGTTCCCAAACTTTAGTGTGCATTAGAATCACCTGGAGTGCTTGCTAAAACCTGCCCCCAGAGTTTCTGACTCAGCAGGTCTGGGATGGGGCCCAAGAACGTGCATTTCTAACAAGTTCCCAGATGACAGTGATGCTGATGTCGCTGGTCCTGGACCAGATTCTGAGACCTGCCCTAAGGTAAAGTCAATGAAACTAGTGCTCACAGCCACTTCTTATAGCTAAAAACCTCACTCACCAGTAGTTAATGCTAGTGAGATATCTCTGTGCTACTAGCCCCCCATTAAAAAAATAAAATAAACCCTAGTAGCTATGATACAAACCTGAATCTACAAAGGACATAAGCTGCCTTAACCTGCCCTACTCTCCCCAGCCTTTTCTCATTCTGGGGTAGGACTCTACCCCAAAGAGAGACAATTCAACTGGTGTAGAGGGTGGGAATGTTGGCCAGCAGCCACCTAAGCTCATTCTTGCTCGGTCACCACCCTGGGGTGGGTGGGTCGGGATTTATGTCTGTATGCACAAGCGTGTGTGCAAACAGAAAAACAGAGAAATCAGTTCTGTACTATGAGAGGGATGTAGGTTTGTGGGAGGCTGTAGTGGGGCTGGGAGGGTCCTCTAATCTGCCTTAGGAACCTCACCTGTCCTGTTCCTTTGCACCCTCCTGACCCCTGTCAAACATAAGTCTAAAGACAGCAGAAAGAGCCTATCAACAAAAGCATATATGACATAGCTAGGAAGACTGGAATCTAAACAGACTGGTTATGAAATTAAAAAAAAGAAATAATATATTTCCTTCCTGTGTATACAATGTACAATATTACCAGAAAATAATGATTTGGGGATGGGAAGCAAGTTATAAAAGAAACGGGAGATTTTGGTAAGGACAGCTATCTCAGGGGCTAGCACCTTTAAGGAGCCTCTCAGTGTGGTGCAGGGGAGCCTCAGAAACCAAAGGAAGTATTTTTTTGGTGTCTGCTTGGTGGTTTGGGATGTAGATAGAGCACGGTTATGGTCAAGCACTCCATCTACCAGGATGGGTGGTGCTGGAGGGCAGTGAATCAAGAAAGGAACTGTCTGTCTCTAGTTTAAGATTGTTTAAAAAACATAAAAAAGAAAGAAGCCAGATTGCTTCTTGGCCTTTTTGCTAAGATCAAATGTGAAGAAAGGAGCTGAGAACACAGAGCAGGGATGGAAGGCAGCAAGGTGAGGCTCAGTTAGCTCAACTCCTCTTTAACCACTACCTGTAGTCCATGGTCTACTGCTCAGGGCCAAGGAGAGGAGTGGAGGCTGAAGGAAGCCTGATTTGGGGTGTACAACCAACAGGGAAGGAATAAGTAAAGGAGCTATGACTTTTTTTAACCTCCCTAGTAGTGTGGGAGGCTTTCTCAAACTTTTCAACTCTAAGCAAGCTTTCTTTTAAGGGAATGAGGCAGAAAGCGCACAGACCAGAAGACCTGATTCTGACCCCTTTCTCTATGGACCTGGGTATCTAGCAGCTAGCTGTGTCTTTAGAGTGAGATGGGAAGGCTGAGTTCTGTTTTCACTCGGAACAGTCCAAGACACTTACACTCTCAGCTCCTTTCTGAAAGTGTCCTCCCTTAGGCCCCTAGAAAGGCCATGGTATTTAAGAAGGGCTAAGTGACACCTCTGTGTGATGTCTGGTTCTGGTCCAGATGAGTGTGGAAGACAAAGATCAAGGGAGAGTAACCACATGGCTGGTAGCAGTAACAAGGGAAGTGATGTTCCTCCTAACTACTGGAGAAGCTTCAGGGCAAGCAAATGCTCTGCTTTCTTAGTGAGACTGAGGACCAGCTTGAGAGCTGTCTGGGGGGTGGTTCTGTCCTGCCCCTTCCTCATTTCAGTGCCCTTCACTACTATGGTTCTGGCAATGGTGCTCATTTAGGTCCTCTGTACTAACTTCCCACTGATGAAATAAGGACTCAGAGAATTAGACATGGGAGCTAAGAATCTAAAAAGACTCTACATAAATTAGCCACCCATCATGCCACAGGTGTGACTAAAAAAAAAAAAAAATAGCCACCTAACACAGGGACAGACTGGCAGGGCATGTTTGCAGTGACAAATTGATTCTTAACTCGAAAAACACTTGACTGAAGGGGGAAGAAAAATAGTCAAGGGTCTTATGAAAGCTCCTTAGGAGCCATAAACTCTGTCAAGCTTTAGGGAAAGGCTGTTAGTGGGAAATCATGACAACAAAAAATGAAACAAAAATCTAAAGCAGGAGAAAATTCCAGGGAGCAGCCATCTAAAGGAGAGGTCCTGAGCACAAGTTATGGCTGCGAATTTTTAAAGGCAAGTGAAGTCCCTGGAGGTGGTAACCTGCATTGTGACCATCTGCCATAACATTTGCTAGTCTGAGTCACTTCAGGGACTGTTCCTGTTGGGTATGTGCTGTTAGAGGATGAGAAAATTATGTGTTCTCAACTTTGTCTTCACCAAGGTATGGCTTGTTCAGCACCGGCTCTGAAAAGCAGGAGGGGAAATTTTAAAAAATGCAGAACATGTTACCTGGTTCAGTATATCACTCTAAGGAAATGGGAATCTTGTAGCTTAGAATAATTTTCTTGTTCCCCTATGACATAAATTTTGGAAGACAAAATAAGCAAGCAAGTTGGCAGTTATTTTGTATGTATAATGGAGGTAGGAGAGATGGAGAAAAGGACATCCTAGGCTTGGGCAGATGGCAGAAGGTGGCTCTGGGACAACTGGAAGGGTTTCACACTGAAGTGCTATTAAAGCTGACCTATCTATCCACAGGCCTCTGGCTTTGGATTGCTTCCTATGGCCGTGTAGAAATTGCATAGTTCAGAGCCAAGGGAAGATGAGAAGTCCTAATGGAGAAGAAAGAGGGACAAGAGGGATGAATTTCTCCCCCTGAAATCCAATTCTTCTAAGTAAGAATGGTTGAGAGGGATAACCACCAAGTTCCCAGGCAGGCCAGACCCTGGGCTCCTCTGCTGAGATCAATACTACACCTTCCCTCTCCCCTTCCTTCCTCCATCCAATCTCATACTTTAAAAAACCCACTCGGGACCTTGGCTATGATGCTTTGGAATCCTGGAGCTTGTTTTATGGAGAAACATTGCATTTAGGGGACAGAGGGCAGGAATGAGTCAAGGAAGTTCTGCAGGACCAGTGGCTAGGCTAGGAATCTGGTGAAAGAGAAAAGGTAGTCCAGAGGGCAGTGGGCACTTGTGAATACAAGACCTTAGCTCAGAAAAGAAGACAGATTTGTGAGGCAGAGAGATGGAGTAGAGCAAGGGAACTTAAGAGTCCCCTACACAACGGCCTGTCAGAGGGCTGCATCTGAACTACAGAAGAGAGACAGGCGGTAATGTGGACAGGAGCATGAAGAGGGAGAGGCAGGAGCAGAAAGATGACCAAAGGCCAGTGCGAGTGCTCACGCCTGTAATCCTAGCACTCTGGGAGGCCGAGGTGGGATGATCACTTGAGCTCAGGAGTTCAAGACCAGCCTGAGCAAAAGTGAGACCCCATCTCTACAAAAAATAGAAAAATTAACTGTGCGTTGTGGCGTGCACCTGTAGTCCCAGCTACTTGTGAGGCTGAGGCAGGAGGATTGCTTGAGCCCAGAAGTTTGAGGTTACAGTGAGCTACGATGATGCCACTGCACTCTACCCAGGATGATGGAGCGAGATTCTGTCTCAAAAAAAAAAAAAAAAAAAAAAAAAGACCAAAGATCACAATATGTATGCTTTGGTCAGTAAACTCTTATAAAACATAAAAGAATCAATTAATCCAGTAATCTGATGGAACAAGCTTTAAACTACATTGTTCCTCCTGACTCTGATGATTAGAACTGAAGGAAGATGGAGGGGAGGAGAAGGAATCAACCAGTCAGACCCTGGACTCTTTCCCTATCAAGAAATCTCTAATATAAGGCCACAAGATAAGGAAAGACCCCACCACTAGACCAGGTAAAGTCAAGAGACAAAATGAGGTACTCAAATAGCTCTGGAAATAGATGAGGAAGAACTAGAACTCCTGGGGTTTTGTTTGCTTCTTTTTGCTTTTTTTTGGTGGTAGGTAGGGAGAAGGAATAAAGCTTACAGAAGAGCTGGAAAATACTGCTACTTCATACATCAAAGGTAAACTTACATTCTCCATAAGTGAATGTTTTAACTAGGATTTAAGAAGGGGAAAAAGGGATAAATAAGCAGCTACTGGGAGACAAAGTCCTGAGTCCATGGGGTGGCTGGGGATGGGTCAGTGGGTGATATGCCATCAAATCTAGCCTCCCTCTATCTGGCAGGAAGTGGCATGCTGGTAAGGAACAAGAAGGTAACAGCCATGGCTTAGTGGGAGGAGAGGGAACTGAGAAACCCCAAACCTAGAAGTGCAAGGGTTAGTGTTAAAAGAGAGAGATACACGTGCATGGGGTAGGGTGATTGTTCGGACCATCTGGAAAGGCCTTTGGCTGTGGGTACATGAGAAACCCCACCCTTGGGGGATGATCTATGAGGCTCTGGGGCTTGGAGGCCCCCAGTACAGGTGTGAAACGTACATGACCATGTGGCTGAAGAGAAAAGCTCGACGTATGTCCATTACTCACAACACACAATTTCACCCCCCACACATTGCCACATCCAAGGCAGATGGAAGGGGATTAGATGACATCTCTCTTGGCTCCTGGGCGGGCGAGCTCTGGCTGGGGACCTCTCCACCAGGGGAGGCATCATCTGCCCGCAGACTGGGACTGTGGGGTCATGATCACATGCGACTGTATCGGCATGCTCACTTCTGTCCTTTGGCTGGCCATCTGAGTGAGGACCGAGGTGGCTACAGCTTCAGCTGCAGAGCGAACACTGAGGCCATTGCTAGGGACTGTTGCTGAGCTGTGCTGAATCACAGGGGCTGGAGAACCCGTTGGCTCTGAGCTTTCCTTGGGGCTTTCTGCCAGGAAGGAGGACAAAGAGAGTGAGTAGTTAGAAAACGGAATGCAGAAAGAGGCAGGACAACCTTCTGCCATAATTCTAAAGGAGTTCAAAGGAAAATGAACTTTTTGGGAGGCAAGCTCCCAAGAATCCTGGCTACTAAGTCATAAATGGGCTAGGAAATGGGAAGGTGTAAGAAGGGAAGAAAGAACTAGGCCAAAATTAACCTATCTATCCCAATAAAGTGAATCCCCAACATGTTAATTACACTGTCTGGCTTCTAGGTCTTTGCATAGTTCATTACCCCTATTTGGAACACTTTTCCTCTTATTCATGCCTTTAGAGGTGATTTAAAATAGATCACTTTTTAGCTATCCTCTCTGATCACGTCCCACAGGAATGGAATCATTCTATTATTTTTTATGTTCCTTTAGCATATAGTTGCACCACAGGTAAGTCTGATAAATATCTAGCTATAATCAAATGATGTTATAAATGGCCAGTCCTTGGCCAAGGTTCAGTTTATACATAAAACTACAAAGAAGTCTGTTTGACCCTCCTGACTATTAATTAGCTAGGCAGTAATGATTTAAAACATTTATTACGAGCTATGCCATTCCACCTAAAGTGACAATAACATTTCACTACTAAACACAGATACCTGTGCGGCATACAATGGTAACTTCATGTTGCTCATCAGTCAAGGAGTTTAATTAAACACCAGATAGCTTCTATGGCTGCTTAAACAGAGATATGTGGAATAAGGGCAAATTTCTAATAGTTGGTTGTATTTTTGACCTTTTGATGAACACTTGAGTCTTCTTTCAGGATTCAAATATTGCCTCCTCTGTGAAGCCATCTTTGTTACCCTCAGAAAATTAACTGTTTCATCCTTTGTGTTTTCAGAACATATATACTCATTTATTCATCAAACATTTGCTAAGCATCATCCATGTACCAGGCACAGGTACACAGAGAATAAAAGGGGAACTCTGTCCTCAGGAAGCTCCCCATGCAGGGGCTGCTTGACTGGGATATCTGTCCTTATTTGCTCATGGGTTACATGACCCTCTCAGAGGTAGTGACAATGTTTTATTTGTCTTGTGCCAAGTGCTTACTATAACGTCTATATCACACCACAGGAACTAAACACATCTTTGCTGTAATGAATAGTTTAATGGATTGACTATGGGTCAGAGTTCTTGCAGGGACTAAATAGAAAACTTACTGTATATAGACTACATACTGGTAAATGAACAATCCTTGTCTTCCTTAGCCTGTCAATAGAATTTGAAATAGCTGATCACTAAACTTGAAATGCTTTCCTATCTTGATTGACAGAACACACCACGTTCAGCTACTTAGCTGGTTTTCCTCCTATTTTCCTGGCTGCTCCTTCTCAGTCTCCTGTGGGTTCTTTCTCATCTCTTTGGACTCTCATCTCTTTGGAGCTAAGTCCTGGGACTACTCTTTTTCTATCTATGCTCTCACCTTGGGGACTTCATCTAGTTTCAAGGCTTTAAAAACTAACTATATGCTCTTGACTCCCAAAGTTTTATCTTTAGCCTTTCCTTTGAATTGCAAACCCATATAACCAACTGACCTGCTTGACAGCTCCACCTGTAAGCCTAATAGGCTTCTTAAACATAGCTTGAAAAAAAAACAAAAAAATATAGCTTGTCCAAAGATGAGCTCCTGATGTACCTCCCAGACTATTTCCTCCTCCAGTTTTGCCTATTTCAATTAATGACAACTCCATTCTTTTAGTTGCTGAGGCCAAAAACATTGGTGCCATTTTTGATTCTTCTTTTTTTCATATATACCATCCCATCGGGCTGTCATCAAACCCTGTCACTCTAATTTCAAAATAAATCCTGAATTCAACCTCTTCTCACTACTTTCACTACTACTATCCTGGGCCAAGGTTCCATTGTCTCTTGCTTGTATTATTATTATAATAATACATATTTTTTGAGATGGAGTCTCACTCTGTTGCCCAGACTAGAGTGCAGTGGCATCATCATAGCTCACTGCACCTCAAACTCCTGGGCTCAAGCAATCCTATTGACTCAGTCTGCTAAGTACCTGAGATTACTGGTGTGTGCCACCACACGCAGCTAATTTTTCTATTTTTTGTAGAGATGGGGTCTTGCTGTTGCTCAGACTGGTCTCAAACTCCTGGCCTCAAGCAATCCTCCCACCTCGGCCTCTCAAGAACGCTAAGATTACAGGCATGAGCCAACCTGCCCGGCCTTCTTGCTTGTATTATTACAACAGCCTCCTAAGTGGACCGCCTGCTTCTGCCCTTGCACCGCCGACATCTCCAGTAGAGGAATCCTGTTCAAATGTAAGTCAGATCAGTCAAGTCATTCCTCTGCTGAAAACCAACTAATGGCCCTAATGGCCAGACTAAGGTAGAGTAAAAGTTGGGGTCCTCACTATGACTGATGAGACCCTAAGTGAAATGCTCCTATTACCTTCCCTACTTCATCTCCAACTACTCTCTCCACCACCCACTCCAGCCACACCAGCCTCCTTGATGTTCCTAGAATGTACCAGGCATGCTCTCACCTTGGGTCTTTGCATTTGCTGATCACACTCTTCCCTGCAGTACTCTTCTTCCATGTAAATGCATGGCTAGCTACCTTACTTCCTTCAGGTCTTTATTCAAAAGCCACCTAATCTAAAATTTCAATTTTGCTGCCAACATTTCATATTACCCTTCCCCTGTTTTACTTTTTCTTCTAGCATTTACTATTATCTAACATACCATATATTTTGCCTATTTATCTTGTTTATTGTCTGTCTCACCTACTAAAATACAAGCTCCTCAAGGGCCGGGATTTAATCTAATCTATTTGGTTCCCTATTATATCCCCAGCATGTAAAACAGTGCCTGGCACAGAACTGACAATCAATATCTGCTTAATGAATGAATGTACCCTGAAGTACAAATTAAAATTAAAATTTAAATAGAGATGTCTTAAATTGGTGATATGGTTACTCTTTTTCTATGGGAACACATCTCTGAAATGATAAAGACAGTTAGTGAAAAAATAATTTGATATATCAAAACTTGATAGCTAGCATTTCTATGAATTTATTTAATTTGCAAAGGAAAACTAGCATTTATTAGCTTTTACTGCCCGTAAGCAATTATTCACAGCAATTTTAACTTCAGAATTGTGCATGTCCTGAGCACAACTCTGTGGCCACTGCCTTTTAACACTATTTTATGTACGCTCACAGATTATAAACTGAAACATCAGCCATCATTAGAAAGAAAAAATATACCCCCAAATCCCGATGCTTAACCAATCCCAATGTATCAACTACTGTTTGTATCTTCTCTAGGCCAAGCCAATGTCTTTGAAGTAAGAAACACCTGGATGCAAATCTTGGCTCCACCATTTTACCAGCTGTGTAACCTAATCTGAGGGCAGTTTTCTCATGTATAAAGGTAGGTAATACCTATTTCATGAGAGAATTGGAAAGACGGTAGAGTGCCTCACACAAAATAGGCACCCAATAAATTTTGCTACCCATCATCCTTAATTGTAATAGATAACTAGGATAACTCTATTTTTTGACAACTCTGTTGTTGTCAAAAATATATACATATTTTTTTGGTAGGACTGGTTGCTCCACAAGGGCTACTCACTAATCAGTTTGGAGTCCACAGTACATTTGGGATGAGGTTACAAAATTATAAACAATTGAGACACTCAGTACATGCAGTTTACTGACTGACTTTGGTTAGATTGTGAGTCACTTACCTAAATAGCCTTGAGTCTTTTTCTGTAGTGCAGTTACTGGGCAGTCTTTATGAGCTAACAGTAGCTGTTTCAACTGAGCCACCTCATTGCGTAGTAATGTGACTTCATTCTGAGGAGGGAGAGAAGAAAACAGTATCAAGAAAATTTATCCTCCACTCTTGGACTCCCCAGTGGCTATCCCCAAAAGGAGGACAGAATGATGCCTAGGTTTTCTCCCCCAAATTGGGATAAGACTCCTGATCCAGCAAGGCTTCAGATGGCCCAGGGCCAGAATAGTCATGAATTCAAAGACAGGAGTTGCTTACAGTGACAAGTAGGGATTTATAATAGAAAAATTACTCCTATTTAGGATAAATATGATTGTACCCAAATCAATAATGCATATGCTATTTGACCAGGAGAAGTCTACTTCTAGGAATCTATTTAACACAACTATGTACTCAAGTGCATGCAATGTTCATTGCGGCATTGCTATCTAGCAAAAAATTAGAACAACATCAGTATCCTTACCTTATAACATAACCACACTACAGAATATACTACTATACAACTATTAAAAATAATGTGGTAGATGTTCCATATCCATGGCTAGATCTCTAGGAAATACAGTTAACCCATTTATGTTAAAACAAAGACACAATCCCTCCAACTCCCACATAAAAACTATAAATAAAAATTATTTAAACATACGAATATGTCTGGACGGTACACAAAATTTATATGCAGGGAAGAGAACGGGATTGCAAAAGGCAGATTAAAGAAGGGACTTTGGGCTGGGCGTGGTGGCTCACGCCTGTAATCCTAGCTCTCTGGGAGGCCGAGGTGGGCGGATTGTTTGAGCTCAGGAGTTCGAAACCAGCCTGAGCAAGAGCGAGACCCTGTCTCTACTAAAAATAGAAAGAAATTAATTGGACAACTAAAAATATATAGAAAAAACTAGCCGGGCATGGTGGCACATGCCTGTAGTCCCAGCTACTCGGGAGGCTGAGGCAGGAGGATCGCTTGAGCCCAGGAGTTTGAGGTTGCTGTCAGCTAGGATGACGCCACAGCATTCTAGCTCGGGCAAAAGAGTGAGACTCTGTCTCAAAAAAAAAAAAAAAAAAAAAAAAAAGAAGGGACTTTGTTTTTATTCTATACATCTCTGTGTGTATATATATTTTATAATAGACATGTATTCATATATTACCTTTGTACTTAAAATATTTTAATAGATAATCAGAAGAAGGGAAGATGATATTCAAGAGGATGTCTGGATTATAATTGTTCTATTTGTGCTTGTGGCAGTTTTTTCTTTCCTTATTTTAGTAAGCTGCATTATCTAGGGCAAAAACATTTCCCTTTGGGTGTTTCCTGACCCCAGTCAGATTCTACCGATGATTTAAAACAAATACCCTGAGGGTGCTTAATCTAATTTCCTTCATCCAAGTGGGTCTATGGATGACTCAGTCTAGTATAAGATTTGGGGATAGTTGGTGAGTGTCTTTCCCAATCCCTAGGGAAGAGATTTCAACTCTGTTAAGAGGTTCTTTCTAACTTCTGGATCTGTCCTAATTAAAGAATTACCATCTTCTATTATATTGTCCCACTTTTTTCTTATTCAATCCCACTTTCCAGATTCAACAATCCCAATAATGATGTAGGACCCACTCACACTGAGCTGAATGTTCTGAGAAGTAAGTTCCTCTGCTTTCTTCTCTAGGGAGGACACCCATAGCTTCCGCTTTTGGCGGCAGCGGGAGGCTGCAGCCCGGTTGCGCTCCAGAAAGCGCTGTCGTCGCTCATCTGGATCTTCATCCACAGTGCGCCGCCGTCGCCCCCCAGTACTAGGGGTGGGCTGGGCTGGTGATACCTGTTGACCAGGGAGGAAGCCGAGTTACCTGATGAGAACATCACTCCTTTCTAAATCACACCTGATATTAGGTAGATTAGTAAAGTCTGGTAAAGGGATGTACCAGTCTCTGGTACCAGTCTCAGCAAGTCTCATCACTATGTCCCTGAACTTCTTTTTTATAGTTAGTGCCTCATTCTGCCTCTCATTTCTTTCCATTCTTCTCAGTCCCAAATTTAAACAAAGAAGTTCAGTTGGAAATTGCGATTATTTCTGAGACAGACAAAATGAAACTCAGATCACTTTTTGTTTCTTAACAATAGGGAATCTAGTAGGCAGGGAAATTAGAATTGGGGGAGGGGGCCGGGCGCGGTGGCTCACACCTGTAATCCTAGCTCTCTGGGAGGCCGAGGCGGGCGGATTGTTTGAGCTCAGGAGTTCGAAACCAGCCTGAGCAAGAGCGAGACCCTGTCTCTACTAAAATTAGAAAGAAATTAATTGGACAACTAAAAATATATAGAAAAAATCAGCCGGGCATGGTGGCACATGCCTGTAGTCCCAGCTACTCGGGAGGCTGAGGCAGGAGGATTGCTTCAGCCCAGGAGTTTGAGGTTGCTGTGAGCTAGGATGATGCCACGGCACTCTAGCCCGGGCAACACAGTGAGACTCTGTCTCAAAAAAAAAAAAAAAAATTGGGGGAGGGTGTCAGGGGAAATTTTAGGGAGACTGTGAAATAAAAAAGTTTTGAGAATCACTGATTTTGACAAGCAATATGTACAAACAATTGCATGCTGTAACAGTTTTCAGAAAAGGAGAAAAAATATTTTTATTCACTTCACTACCAGTGAGATATGGGCCACTGTGAAGAGATATAGATTAGTATATTCTTTTTATTTATAATAAGTTATTAATCATCCTCAGTAACCCTTGTTTTGTTTGTGAACAGAAAAAATGTTTAATCCTTTTACAAATTGGTGATATAGGCCTGTCTTTTGTTTTTAAGCTTCAGGCTGAAGTTCTTTTTCACTTAAGCACTTTTGGATCATCTTCCCTTTCTGTTAGTAGGTATGCATTCAGAGAAGGCAGACCAATTTTATAATAGTGCCCCCAATTTTTTTAAAATGTAGACAGACCAACCTTCTGTAGAAAGGAAGTTGACTCTTGAACAACAAGGGTTTGAACTGTGCAAGTCCACTTATGTGCAGATATTTTTTCAATAAAAGTTACACCAAGTGTTCCTCCTTCTCCTTCCAACTCCTTCACCTTATTCCCCTTGTGTCACCACCGGGAGACCACGCTCTCTTCCTCGGCCTACTCAATGTGAAGATGGCATGGATAAAGACCTTTATGATGACCCACTTCTATTTAATTAATAGTAAATATATTTTATCTTCCTTATGATTTTCTTAATAACATTTTTTCTTTTCTTTTCTTTTTTTTGAGACAGAGTTTCACTCTTTTGCTCTGGCAAGAATGTAATGGCATCATCATAGCTTACTACAACCTCAAACTCCTGGGCTCAAGCAATCCTCCTGCCTCAGCTTCCCAGGTAGCTGGGACTACAGGTGCACTCCACCATGCCCGGATAAGTTTTCTATTTTTTGTAGAGACAGGGTCTCACTCTTGCTCAGGATGGTCTGGAACTCCTGATCTCAGGCAATCCTTCTGCCTCAGCCTCCCAAAGTGCTAGGATTACAGGAGTGAGCCACCATGCCCAGCCAACATTTTCTTTAGCTTATTTTATTGTAAGAATACAGTATATAATACATATAACATACAAAATATGTGTTAATCGATTGTTTGTGTTATTGGTAAGGCTTCTGGTCAACAGCAGACTATTAGTGGTTAAATTTTTGGAGAGTCAAAAGTTATAGATTGATTTTCAACTGTGTGGGGTTGAAGCCCCAAACCCCCATGTTGCTCAAGGGTCAACTGTATATAACAATGCCAAAAGTAAATTCTTCCTGGATCTGTTGTTATTAGGGGATATCTGTATTTGTATATCCCAAATGCCAGAGCTTATATCAGTTTCATGAGCATAAGCATGAACTTATAAAAAAATAGAATTTTGGCTGGGCACGGTGGCTCCCAGCACCTTGGGAGGCTCAGGTGGAAGGATCGCTTGACCTTTTTAAAGAGCAAGACCCCATGTCTTAAAAAAAAAAAAAAAAATAGAAAGATTAGCCAGGCATGGTGGGGCACGCCTGTAGTCCTAACTACTTGGGAGGCTGAGGTGGGAGGACTGCTTGAGCACAGGAGTTTGAAGCTGTAGTGAGCTATGATCACATCACTGCACTCCAGCCTGAGTGACAGAGTGAGACCTCATCTGCCAAAAGAAAAAAAGAATACTCTACTCCAGGCCCCACTGAATTATGTTCTCCATTAACAGATAATGAAGAGATGATTTTATTTATTCAGACTAATTGCTCCAAAAAGAAAAAAATGTAGAGGAAATCTCAAACTCAATTTAATGAACTAGAGGCCCCTGGGTCATTGCTTCTCACTGTACTAAGGGAAGATGCTTTCTTCAGGACATTTATAATAATTCTTCTGCGAATTTCAACTTCTTCTTTGTCCTGAGCTCACTGGAGCTCATGTAAAGATTAGTGCTTTAGAAGGAGGATGGGGGAAAGGAAAAGATAGGTGCCTCTTCCCTCATATGCAATTCAGTAACTCATGCAGGGAATGGAGGTGAAAGAATAGGACAAGAGGAAGAAAGGAAGAATGAGAAGGAAAGGAATCAGTGGTGACTAAAAAGGTGACTAAATCCACGCCATTTTCCCAAGAGAGAAAGCAGAAAACTCAGGCAAGTGGGGGTTATACTTTACACCATCTTCAGGACTAGCTTTGATGGGGTTACAGGAAGGTGAGGCAGGCTTAGCTTCCAAAAAGAAAACTCAAATGAAAGCTTTCGTTTTTGGCCAAGTTTTAAGGCAGCATATGGCCATGAAATGTTTGGACATGTGTAGTAACCAATGAAGCAGGTGGTGACATCAGGAAAAGAGGGGCTGGGCAAAGAATGTAACTCTAGAAACCAATCTCAGGTATTGTCACCTGGCCAGTGCAAATGATATGAAAACTGAGGACTATTCAGTTTCCAAAGAATTCTGTTCAAACTGAAACCTTCTTGACAAGAGAAGTGGGTAACTAAGTGGGATCTCTTTGACTTTTTAAGGATTTTAATTTTTCTTGATATAAAGTGATTAAATTGATAATGAGAAGGTTTTTTGGTGTGTGTTTTCTAGTTTTTTTACTGAGCCATCTTATTATAGTAATATCACATTTTATTTACTTATTTATTTGAAAACTTATACGTCTTAAATACATTTTAATAATATATTGTTATCATCTGGTTTTTGTTGTAAAATCTAATCAGGTAAGTTATTATTTTTTTGGTGAGACTTAATGGATGACTAAGAGACAAGGGGAGCCTCTTTTGTTTAGTACATTAACGGTGCTTGAAGTGAGGTTCTGTGACATTTTAGAGGATTCTGCAGATACATTAAACATTACTCATATGGAAAACAAAAACAAAAACTGAATCCTCCTCTGCAACAGTTCTGCATTATTCAGTCTGTTTGCATGTAAGTCTAACAAAAGGGTGGATAAAGAATGGTGCATTTTGCTTTAATCAAACTGTCAGCAAAAACCAAAGTAGCAGGAGGATACCCAGAAAGCTGAAATCCATTCTTCTCTAATTTTCTGCTCCCTGAAAAACAGATACGACACAAAGAGTGAGTGACACAGCTGGTTCCCCCATCTGAGGGCCCAACTGACCTGTGGCTGGGCAGGGGAAGGGGCATCAGGGTGCTGGATGAGGATCTGGCTCTGCTCTGGACGGGCTGTCACCATGGTGCTGGCAGTACCCACCACCATTCCACAACCACCATTAATTGAGGAGACTTGGTGGGTTAGGGTGGCTTTTAGCCTCTGTGGGGAAAGATAAGAAAAAAAAAGCTTGTCAAGGATGATATTCTATCAAGGATGAGAAGAGCGGGCTTAGATTTAATTTTATTATTGACCTTACAGATAGCTGAAGTTTCCACTCCAATTTTCCCTTAACAGAGAAATTAAAAGAAAATGACAGAGAGAGAAAATGTGCACCTGGATCCCTAAAATGCCTACTCTGTTCCCTGGCTATCATCCTGGGCACAGTTGGGGGTGGGGGTTGTTGAACTAAGAGTCCAGATGAAAGCTCTCTCCTGGAACCTGGCCAGAGGCTGGTTACGCAGCTATTCACCTCTTGGCCAGCTCCCCTGCCCACTCATCCACCCTCCATCTGTCACCCTGGAACTAAAACAGCAAGAGTTCCATTCCAAACAATCTGTGCTGTCTCTTTTCACTGCCATGGTCTATATGAGAGGCTCTAAAGGTGGGGAGAGGAAATGGGAGTCATGAATCAGGGTCTTTTCTTTTCCAGACCCCACAGCAGGATGTGCGTAGCTTTGCAAGCCCCAGGAGGTTCCTTTGCTTGGCTCACTTGAAAAACCTAGGCTGATACCACTTCTTTCAAACAGGCCAACATTGCCCCAGGCTGGGTTGTACTCACCATCTTGGCTTCTGATGGTATTGGGTGGCCAGAGGGAGAAATGGAGCCACTGCTGTTAACTGGTGGGCCAGGGATACCAGGAATGTTGGGCACCATGGACACAGGTCTGGCCAGCTGGATCAAGAGAAGAAAGAAAAACCAGAAAGGGACATAATACTACTGGTAGGGTAACAGTTTTCCCAAAATGAAGTGCCTTTGAGATTGGCATGTCAGGGTCTGTTCTGTGCAACCCAACCATAGGACATACAGGGACAGTCTGGGAAATACCTTTCCCCATGGAACACCACAGGGTAGGGAATCTAATCTTTGAGTGCTGGTACAATTTCTGTGGGAAAGGCTGGAGCCTTGAGGAAAGTGGTGGGCAATTTGGGAGGTGCTATGTGCCAAGTGAAATCAAACAATCAGTGGGGCTGGCAAGATCAATTCCTAGACCAGTAGCCAACTGTCCAGATGAGTCTTTGTCTAGTGTTCCATAGTGCTGGATTGGCAGAGGTTAGTGTGGAGTTCGGGCAGGCTGCCATGCTCAACTAATACAGACCAGAACCCACATTTCCCCAGGGTTCATGTGTGTGTATAACCATTCAGGTGGGAGGGAGGGACTACCATTGCCATAGGGTTGGCTGTCCTAACTACAGAGCTCACCGATATAACAGAAGGCATCTGTACTGGAGGCCCTGGCAGCACAGGCATGGTCTGTCCATTAGCAAGATGCATAACAAGAGGGAGGGAGCCAGTGGGAGACCTAGAGGAGACAGGAAGTGAAATTTTCATAATATTGACCTTTTGTTCATGGATATTCCTCCTATAATTATAACAGATTTTCCAGTGTTCTCTAGTTAGAGAAAGAATAAAGCAGCATTGTAAAATCTTTACACACTCATGAAGGTGGGAAAAGCAGGGAATGCTACTTACTGTACAGATGGAGAGAAATGGCAAAATCTTTATACCTTGCAAATTAAGCAAACTCAAATGGTAGGAAGCTAATCCTATTAAGGGTTTAGAACAATTAAATAAACAACTCTACCACTGGCATGTATAAATTGTCTTGCCTTAGGCAAGGCAGAGTTGCATCAAAGTTGTTTTTCAAAGCTGAATTATGTCATAAGATGGCCAAATTTGAGTAAGGTTCTCTTGTTCTTCTTTTTTTTTTTTTTTTGAGACAGAGTCTCGCTTTTGTTGCCAGGGCTAGAGTGAGTGCCTTGGCGTCAGCCTAGCTCACAGCAACCTCAAACTCCTGGGCTGAAGCAATCCTTCTGCCTCAGCCTCCCAAGTAGCTGGGACTACAGGCATGTGCCACCATGCCCGGCTAATTTTTTCTATATATTTTTAGTTGTTCAATTAATTTCTTTCTATTTTTAGTAGAGACGGGGTCTCGCTCTTGCTCAGACTGGTCTCGAACTCCTGACCTTGAGCGATCCACCCACCTCAGCCTCCCAGAGTGCTAGGATTACAGGCGTGAGCCACGGTTCTCTTGTTCTTTTCCGAGTTTTGCTCTACCATGCCCCAAAAAAGAGGCTGGCCCTTTTTATTTTTCCTGGTGTGTTGAGAGAACAATAAGCTCTAGAGAGCTGAATCTGGACAACAACCTCTAACCCATGGGTGTCTGGGGACAGGATCTCAAGTCATCCCATCAGGAAATCTGTATGGGCCATGAAAGGAGTGAAGACAGACAGACAGACAAAATTAGGGGTAGCAAAGAATAAGAGCCCTAACTGGGACTGAGAAGAACACTAAATTCAAAGAGGATGACTTAATGTGTTTCAGTCTTTCATTCAGTAGTGCCCCAATGGACTTCTATAGAAGCGTGGCCTCCAGCATTGTGACGAACTTGCCAAAGTTTTAAGGATTCTTTTCTTTAGAATGAAGAAGTATTAAACCCCTAAATGAAGGAAGTATTACCCACAAATAAATATTTCCTTGTCTACTAAAAAGGTAAAGAAGATTTGGTTTATGGTGGAAAAATTTACTTTGAGAGACAATCTCAGTGACTTGTTTTCCTTGGGTATACAAAAACGGTCCCTGGTTTTTTGTTTGGTTTTGTTTTTAATGTTTATTTTGATTTGTGGGGTTTTCTTTTGTTTGTTTGTTTTTGAGATAGAGTCCTGCTCTGTTGCCCTGGCTAAAGTACAGTGGCATCAACATAGCTCACTGCAGCCTTAAACTTCTGAGCTCAAGCAATCCTCTTGCCTTAGCCTCCCAAGTAGCTGGGACTATAAGCAAATTCCACCGTGCTGGCTAATTTTTTTTTTCCTATTTTTAGTAGAGACAGGGTCTCGTTTTTGCTCAGGCTGGTCTCAAACTCCTGACCTAAAGCAATCCTCCTGCCTCAGTCTCCCAAAGTGCTAGGATTTACAGGCATGAGCCACCGTGCCCAGCCAATAGTCCCCATTTTTTCAAATAATTTCACAAGGTGAAAAGAAATGCAGCTTTCACTATTTCTCCCTGCTCTTTTTACTTACCCCATTTGCCTGTTGGATGGTGGAGCCTGTGTGATGACAGAGGTTGGGGAGGGAAGGGTTGGATGAAGTGGATCATACCCCAAGTGGAGAGGCAGGGAACCAGGACGTACAATGGTGGGCGTGGGGGTAGAGATCACAACAGGCTTTGGGGCAACCTCCTGGGAAGAAGAGACCAAAAGATCACGAAATGCTTTAAGGGCTGCTACAGGGAAATACATAGTTGGTAAAATCTAGTACAAATCTCCTAAAAAGAGCATTAGAGCCACTTATGTAAATCATTACCTAACTCCATCATGATCTTGGACCCATACCTCGCTCACTCATTCAGTAGGAATGCTGAGTTAAGATCTCTTTGCCATCTCCCTTTCAGGGATGATGGCTATATAAATGACAATTGGAAAATCACTTGAAATCTTTGAAGCACTGTAGTACTACATACATTCTAGGAATTGTCATAATTTTTCACAATTCAGATACTCTCTATTATAAACCTGATGCCCAAGTGTCCTCTGACCTCCAATGAGAAAAGGCAGGTATACTGGTGATAAGGCAACTAACTATCTCCTGTAGACCCTTTCAAAAGGGCTATGGAAGTTTGAATAATGATTGTATTGTAATAAAACAAATTGCTTCTCACTATGTTAGAATCTTAGACTGCCAGTGGCCATACTGGCCATGAAAACATCTCCAAATAGTCTCCAGGACTTGGTTGTAGATGAAAAGGGGAGGGGATGGGATGGTTGTAATGTTTATGGAGAAGGTAGGTTTGAAAAGTTACCAAGCCAAATTTGGAGGGAAGTCAGATGAGGTACTACAGATGCTCTATCCATAGTGGATGTTAAAATTAATAACCACTGGTAGAGCAGTAGAGAATGAAAGGAGGCATGAGGGGGGGCTTGTGAGGTCCTTTTTTTTTTTTTTCTTATACAGGGTCTCGCTCTGTCACCCAGGCTGGAGTACAGCAGTGTGATTACAGCTCACTGCAGCCTCAAAGTCCTGGGCTCAAGTGATCCTCCCACCTTATCCTCCAGAGCAGCTAGGATTTATAATCATGCATCACCACATCTGGCTAATTAAAAAAATTTTTTTTGTACAGATGCGGTCTCACTATGTTGCCCAGGCTGGTCTCGACCTCCTGGCCTCAAGTGATCCTCC